TTACGATCAATCGAGGTGAAGGCTTCTTTTAAATCACGGAACAGTGCGATCGTTGGTTTGCGGTGTGTATCGCGTAATTCGAGGAATTGGTCGATACAACCGCGACACGGTCGGAACCCAGCTTAGTGTTCGCAAATATCCGACTTCCTTAGGGCATCAGTCGTCGAAGTATAACCGAGGTCAACACTTTGGTGACGGTTGGGATAAGACCAATCCATTGGTTGTGAGCGAAATCGTTGCGAGACACTTTCTTGAAAAGTTGAAAGAGCAATGATTCCTCCCAAGATGATGGAATGCGCTTCTGTAACCAGATGTTGTGCAATAGGTCAATAATAAAAATCACGATATCATCAGCCTCCATCTCGATCAGAGAAGGAGAAAGAATGCAACGCCCGCCTACTTTTCCTCTCCTCAGAGCTTGAATGCAAGATCGAACTTCGCCTTCCATGGGAGATCCACGTGGCATTGCCCACGGAGCTTCAGTTTCAACAGACGAGTTGAACTGTTCGTTGAAATACTCCACCTAGCGATCAAGCCGATGTTCCCCATCGTGAATAATTTACCCACTTTTATCGCAGATGGATTCACCGACCTTCGGTACTACTTGTCAAACGGAATTATTTGACTATTCCATGGTGCAACTACTATTTCCATTGGACTAGCTACTTTTGCCCGCCAGTTATCAAGGCACTTCTGGATGCCCTTCATGTGCGGACGCAGCAGACACCNACCCCTGTTAGGTTATCAGCCGATCGAGTTGTCGTTTTTCCTCCATCAGGACCACGGACTCGGGGTTCAGGCTCGGATCCAAAAACAACGTTCACTGCGGAGTGCACTATCCATCCAATCAGATCCCATCGTTCATCTGCACTGATTGACCACTGTCGTTTCATCGCATGTAAAAGAATGTTGACGGGGATCCAATTAATCCAATCGAAGCTGAATGAGCTTCGTCGTAGACTGCAGGAAGTACCTTGGGGAAAAATCCGGTGCACCTAAGTGGTTTAGAGTACCCTGATGGAACCCTGGGTTTGCGTCTCCAATACGCAGCCGCCATCAAGCCCTACAGAATCCGCTGCACGCTCCAGACACGCTTATCAACCCAACTGTATTAGACTTGAAGGCCCCAAGATGCAGAGATCGACGCGGCTTCAGAATATGCAAATTGTTTGGTGGCAAACTAATTACAATGCTATTTGGCAGCAAACTTTGGCGAATGACACACAAGTTGTCTGATGGAATGTTACGGGTCTGAAAAAACGGGTGGAGGGAGAGGGTATGGAAGTCAAAGGCTGGAATGTCTGAGCAGTAGCGCATTACCCAGCCCGCTGTATGTAGTGGACAGGGTGGTTTTGATTATCCTATGCGACGACGGATGCAGTTCGGAATTGGGTTTAAATTGTGTATGCAGCAACGAACGGGTTGGGCTGTACGATTGGAAAAGCGAGTATAAAGCCAAACGTAAAACGGTAGACCACAAACGAAAGTGCACGACCTTGATAAATCGGACATGTGCTACACATCTGAACGGGAAAGTTACTTCCACTCGTCCTGTGCACTGGGAGAAATAGCGACTGGCAAGTCAACAGTGACACCGGTACAACAATCTACGGGTGTGATCAAAGTCAGTCTCAGTTTCAGTTTGTACAATTATTAACCATGCACTATCGTGCGCCGGTTTTGGTTACTGTCTTTTGGCTGCCCATTTGGATGAACATAAGGAGAAGACAGGAAAGTTGAAAGTAGAGACGAACAGAAAATGGAGAATTTCAGTGGACTAATATTGCAAAGAAAATGAGAAGATGCACGAACGCCACTGTTTACGACACTCAGCCATATCGCTCAATGTCTCTAGGCATGGGTTACGATCATCCCGAGGTCCCCACCCAGGGAGCCTAACGGGACCTATGAGACCCAGTGCCCTGGTTAGGGTTTTTATACTCTCGTGCCAGGTCTTAGGTGGACCACCCTAGGTGTTTTTACCTACTACCTGTCTTAGAAAACATCGCAATCTATCTGGAGAAGAGCGTAACATATGCCCCAACCAACGTAATCTACAAAGGTCGAACACTTGCTCCAATGGGCCACCGCGGTTACTCAAAACTCTGCGCCTAACCTCAGCATTGTTCGTCCGGTTGCCCCACCAGGTTCGTGTAATGCTGCGTAGACAGCAGTATTCAAACACCGACAGTTCATCTTTATCCTGTTTCCTTAACGATTAAATTTCTCCGCCATATAGAGACAAATACCGTAAGAGAGATCTATGTCATCGTACTTTTGATGACTTCTTCGACGTGACTATCTTGGCTGAAAGTGTCAGAATCAGAACCGAAATCGTCCCACCCTGTCCCCGATAATCTTCGGGATA